GAAGGAAGGAAGGGAAGAAGAGAGGAAGGGGGGCGAGGTGGACAGGGGCCGGCGGCAGCGAGAATGGGGAAGGTGGAGTAGAGTGTCAGGTACGGCAGGAGGAAGAAGGTAGTGCGGCAGCGAGAATGGGGAAGGAGGGAGGAAGGTGATATCGGCAGCGAGATGGAATCGGGAGGAAGGGGGATAAGCGCGTCATGAACGTCATGAGTAGGACAAGTGGGCCGGCGGCAGGAAGGATGGGGAAGGAGCGAATGGCACCGAGGAGGATCGACAGGGAAGGGAAGGGAAGATGGGGAAGGGAAGGAAGGGAAGGAAGGGAAGGGCGGCCCGCCAGTGGACGGCGTCTCCTTGTGGGGTAGGCGCCAGACACGGATCAGAGGGAGGGAGGGGAGGAGGGTGGCAGGAGTGGTCATGGGGGAAGCTCGGAATAAAAAGAGAAAATAAAAGGGGGGGACAACTCAGACCAGAAGAAAAAACGCACCACACGCATTACAGATATTATTCCCCACGTCGTCCCTCCTCCACAGCGGCGTCGTGCTCGTCCCGCAGTTCCCGCACGCCAGCGCGTTGATCTTGCCCGGCGCGCTCGCGCTGTTGCCGTTGCCGCTGTTGTTATTCCCGTTCCCGTTCCCGTTTCCGTTAGCGCCGTTGCCGTTGGGGTTGGGGGAGCCGTTGTTGTTGGGCGCGCCGCTGCCGTTGGGGGCACTGTTGGGGGCGCCGGCGCTCCCCGAGGCGTCTTGTTGTTGTTGGCCGCTGTGAGGAGGGGTTAGCGCCGGTTTAAAAAAGGAGGAGGGAGGAAGAGGAATGGAGGAAGGAGAGACGGAGACGCCCAGCCACAACGCCCCGCCAAAGCACACCCTCCGCCCACCCTCCGCCCCGCCAACGCCCATCTCCCGCCTCCCGCCGCCCACAAAAAAAATAGAAGAAAACACATACCCAAACTCCCCACCCTGCCCGCCCTGTGCCCCCGCACCCCCAGGCGCGGGCGACATCAAGTTCCGGATCGCGCTCGGGTTCCCTCCTCCTCCTCCATTTCCCCCATTTCCCCCGCTTCCATTAACACCCCCATTAACACCCGACGCAGAGTTGCTGTTGTGGCCAGGCGACGCAGCGCCAGGGGCCCCGGGCGGCGGCGTGGGGTTCAGGATCTGGCGCATGGACGCGGGCTCGTCCCCGCCGCCGCTGCCGCTGTGGGTGGGCGAGGGGGCGTTCCCGGTGGGGGGGTTCTGGGGGGGCGTTAGATTTTTTCTCGTTTCACGGTAGAGGGAGGAAGGAATCGGAGAGGGCTGAAAGGGTATATGAAGAAGAGAAAAGACTAACAGACGCAAGCGCGGCCAACCGACTCGCGCTATTATTCCACGTCGGGCACCCGCCGCACGCGGCGGTCCCGCCCGTGCCGTCGCAGCGCCCGTCGCCCGGGCACGTCCCGCCGCCCGTGCCCAGGTGCGGGGCGTCGATGGCGGTGGGGTTGGGCTTGCTGCCGCCGTTGGGCTTCGTGTTGGCGTTGTTGGGGTTGGGGTTGGGGTTGTTGGTGAGGGAGGAGGCGAGGGAGGAGAGGGCGGAGGGGAGGGAGGGGGAGGTGGGGGAGAGGGAGGCGGGGCGCGGCATGTTGCGCGATTTTTGGTAGAGGCCTGCGGGGCGGGTGAGCATTTTGGTTCGTCAAAGAATTTTTGGAAGAAAGCGGAGAATGGGGGGAAGTAGGAAGCAGGAGGTGGGAAGATGAGGAAACGGGACGGAAGATGAGGGAACGGGACGGAAGATGGCAACGAGGTAGGAAGGCAGGAGACGGATGCAAGATGCGAGGGAGGCAGACGGCAGACAAGAGCCAGCAGGCAGCGATCCCAATCGATGCATGCTGGATGCGGCATGCGAGCATCGTGCCCAAAGCCTGTCCGTGGTCCGATCTCCTTCATCTTTGTGATTCCTCCCACACCACCCACACCCCAATCGATGGCCCCCTACTCTCAGCAGGAGATGCCACCCTCGATCGACACCAAGAAAGCGATGCAAGGAAAAGAAGAAGAGACTGACCACAGGCGTTGCAGATGGGGTTGCCCTCGGGGGTGCGGCGCCACAGCGGGGTGTCGAGGGTGCCGCAGTTGATGCACGGCACGCGCGCGGGGCCGAGTCCGTTGGCCGCGAAGGTGAACTCGCCGCCACCGAGCGGGCTGCTCTTGCGCGCAGTCCCGTTTCCGTTGGCCGTGGCAGCACTGCCGTTCCCGCTGGCAGCGTAGTACTCGGGCGTCGGGGGGCGAGTGCGCATCCGGGCGTCGAGCATGGTAGTAGTGGACGTAGAGTAGCGTAGAGTAGAATATGTAGCGCGAATCTGAGACAGCGGCAGAGACAGAGAGAACTGAGACAGAGACAAGAAAAAAAGACGGGGTTGGCGGGTTTATCTAAAGAGCGATAACGCAGCAGCCAATCACAGCCCGCGCATTTCAGTGATTAGATGGATGTGATTCCTGTGATGTTATCCTCGGCAGCTCTGTTGCGTTCTGGTGCGTCCCAGGCCTGCCACACAACAAAACCGAGACGCGGGGTTCTGCTAACCACTTCTGTGCTTCTGCCTCCAGACAAGGATGGGAGGGCCCACGCCTAATACCGTCACGCGCCCAATCCCCAGATCTTATCGCACAAGCCCCAGTAAATGAAATTTGATCAGATTCCGTACCCCGCTATCTGTCCTTGTCTCCCCCTTTTCCCGTCCCTTGTTCTTCCCCCCTCTTTTTTTCACAGAACCTTATGAAACATATCCCCATCCCATCATCGGCCTCCTTCCCTCCGCTGAAAAAACTTGCCGCTCTCCCACACCGATCCCGAGCCGGGAACCTCCAGAAAAAAGTGATCTGCCCTTAAAACTTAGATTAGATGTCCGAGTCCGCGTCGCGGGGACTGATATACTGATATGATATGTCGAGGAACCTGATATCATCGCATCTTGCTATCGTTTCATATTGATAGCGTTCGCTGATATCCTTCTGCCTTCTATAGGATCTCCCCCTTCTCCTTCGTGCACTGATAGTGATACTGTCTGTTTCAAATTGACAAACTTGATACCTGGCCATGTCCGCCTGATACGCTGCCCACTGATAGCCACGGCCAGTGATTCGAACCTGACACTGATTCCGTCGTCACCCAGACGCCGATATAATCTGATTCGATTCCATTCCCAAGCCCAACGACGATATCGATTAGATCTATTCTAGACGTGCCTCAACTTCGACTACATATCGGTAAGAAGTTCTCGTCAATCGTGTCATCATCATCATCATCGTATCTTAGACTCGACCGCAATTATGACGGCACTCGAAGTCTCGCTCTTTTTTTTATCCCCGAGTCGTCCGTTTTTTCATCCCCGAGTCGTCCCATTTTTTTATCCCCGACGGCGCCCGCCCCAGGGCCACAGACATCGAGTCAAGATAAACTCGAAGTGGTCTTCTTGTCAAGGAGTCGTCTCGGGTTTATAGTGCCTAATCCCGTTTTCCTTGATCCGTAACTTGAAGTGTAACGGCAGTCAAAGTCGTCTCCATTTTCTATCCCCGACGGCGCCCGTCCCAGGCACTGAGGCAGGGCCACAGGAAAACCGATATCGATTAAGTAGATGAAGTCAGGATGAAGTCAGGATAAAGTCAGGGTGAAGCCACGATGAAGTGGCCATGGTGGTCTTCCTGTCGAGGAGTCGTCTCGCGGATTTTCGGTCGCTAACCCCCGTTTTTTATCCCCGCCGAGTCCTGTCTCCGCGTGCCGCTGCCGCTGCCCGCACCCGCCGAATTCCGGGCGCGTCGCCAAATATTTATATACTTATAATGGTCCGCCCGCTTAGTATTAATCCGCGGCGCCCACCGCGGTTCACAACCGTCGCGAGTTCCCAATCGTTCCTCCACTGGTAGGTTGGTTACACTTACAAGTACCGAGAATCATCCCCTCCTTGGGCACGTTTCCAAGCTCCAAGCTCCAGATTCTCCTCGCGTTGCCATGTCAAATCCCCCACTTCCAAGTTCCAAGTTCTTAGCGTTTCCAAGTTCCATGCTCTCTTCGCGTTTCCAAGTTCCAAGTTCTCGCGTTTCCAGGCTGCTTCTCGCGTTTCTACGTTCCAAGTTTTCTTCCAAGTTTCACCTCGGCATCACCCAAATCCACTTCCCACTCCGACGCGATCCGAAATACGAGGTCTTCCTAAATCCTAACACTTCCAAGTATACCTATACCCCTACCCAAACCGGGTCCTATCCTATGCGATCTACGCACGATCTACATGTCCCCTCGCCTTATCACTGACAACCCATGTATGTTTCAAAAACGCCTATAATTAATTACCGTTTCAAGCGCCTATATATACATAATACAAGCAATTGATTGCGCACCGCTGATTAACTCCTCACATCACCGTGCATCACCTTCTATCAGCGTACACGCCTCCTCCCATCATGATATTCCACCACATATGTCCTATCATCAGCCACAAAAAACTTACGAAAAAGATGCAGGAAGATGCAAAACACTAGTAGTCCAGTTTCCAAGTTCCAAACTCCAAAGATACTTTCACGTTCCACGTTCCAAGTTCCACGGCCAAAGATTAGGATCCAGGAACACAACACCCTTAAAAGCTATAACATTTACCTCGCGCGTCGTGCCGTCGGCGAACATCATGAGCCTAAGCCTAAGCTTAAATTCAATTGAGGATGCTGCTATACTTGCCGGACTGTAAAAAAAAAAACTCGGGATCGGCCGGGCGTCGAGGATCGAGATCAAGCAACCTGCCAGCGGTGCAGATCAAAACAACCCCAGCCGCCCAAAAAACGAACTCAACTTAACCTACAATCAGCGATGTGGTCACCACATCGCTGATTAGGACCAAGCGTAAATCGGAGGGAACGCAGAATCAAAGCTTAAGGCCATGAAGGAATCAAAGACCGCACGACGGCAACAGAAAAGCTCTGGAAGGTAGAGTGGGGAACGGAACGGAACGGAACTAGAGGAACGACGTGAAAAAGGGAAAAAAATGACCACCGCAGGGGTCGAACCTGCAATCTCCTGATTACATTCGTCATACGTGTTCACAACATCGTAGTCAGACGCGATGCCATTTCGCCAGGCGGCCATTATTACTTTGACATTAGTGGTTTAGATAGGGGGTGGGGAGGTTGAAGTTGAAATCTCACGTCCAGTGTCACACGCCGTAAGCCCATGCGCTGAACGAGAACTCGGACGCTTTCTGGATCCACCGCACAGCTGCAATATTTTGCGTCGCGTGAACTCTGATCAGTATGGTTGGAATGTAAACCGCTCCAAAATTCCCGGCGTCTCCGTAGATCTTAGAAATTCCATTCTGAAAAGTCCGCATTGTCAGAACGTGTGGATCATGATCCAGGATGCTTGTGTCAACCCTACATCATACTCAGACGTCACCTGAGTCAATACCGTCTTCTGAAGTTGAATGATCGGAAGATTATGTAGCACTTGGGAACGACCGTGGCGGGGCATAATCATGATTCAGAAGACCGACCATGTGTTCCCGCTCATGTTTTCTTGATGAGCGACTGGGGTACAGCTCAGCAATGTCGAAGCGATAATTGTTGCCCGCGTAACTTCATCAACAAGCATATTCTTCGGCTGGCATGGTGTCGAGCTGTGCGCAGTGCGCACAGACTCGACGATAATTGTTTTCCATTGCGGGAACTCTGGGTCGGCATTCGGCATCACCAAATACAAACTCTTTATATATCCGACTTGATAGATGTGACGAATTGCAAGGATCCCGGATACGCAAAACTACACATTGGACTTTATATCGCGCTAATGCAGAACACCATAGATCGTCTAACTCAGGAAATCCAACTTGAAGCTGAGGACAGCCTGCTTCACAAGAGCACAGGGAAAAGATCCCTTGAGGAAAAGGAAGACGAGACTTTTACGAGGACAGTAAAACATCAGAAAACTTCTCATGCGAGGAGCACGGAGGCAGGTACTAAGGTAATATGTCTTCGTCAAGTAAACGAATCTAAATCTGACATATCCACTAGTCTGCTACCTCCCTTGCAAGCGCACGCAATTATGTGAATTGTTTTATATCCACTATGACGTGTACGACTTCCCTATCCCAACTTCATTCATTCGTTCCGCTCCCTCGCTGTTGGATGTCCCACTGGACGGATCAACTACTCCACCACCAGTTAAATGCAATTATTCCGAGCATGAATATGTAACGATAACTCTCACTTCGGAAATTGCGGCTGGTGCCACTAGCATCGCGCGCGGCAATGCTATGTTCCAGGTTACTACCGCCGATGGTATGACCGTGCAGGAAAACGTCGTATTCAAGATCGCGTTTCTCGCCGACCAACAGGAGCGGATGTGGCACGAATACACTGTCTATCGACACTTGGCTAGGTACGAGCTCATTTGTTGAAGTGTCTGTCCACGAGAGACTACCACTTGGCCGAGTTCAACGTAAATGGAATTCCCAAGATATATGAGGTGCTCGACGATCTTGAAGGCGGCGCGATTACACTCGTAATGCGCCATTGTGGCGGGTGTCTCTGGACCCTTCGCCCGAACCCAGATAGTGCAATCTTTGTCTCCTCTGAACAACGGTATGCATGTTTGAATTGGTCTGCTGTCTTCTCATCCAGGTTGTTTCCAGCGCCCAATTTCTCGCTAGGAAAATGTACATCACGCTGGTGTCCGTCACTATCTCCGGCCAGAGAATTTGAGTCTTTGACCGCGCTGACCTCCACCCAACGGCGGGGAAAAAATACCGAGAGATGGAAAGGTTTAATGAATTATTCGATGGATCGTACCCTGACTTTTCGACGCCAGACACAGGCTTCCGAGAGCGATGACGATGAATGAGTCTAGAATTTACAGGCGCGTTCAAGTCACATGACCGTGTCTGGACGCCGCAACTAATACTTACTCTGCCTAGGCTACGTGAATCGGATCCTCATTCTCTCAGCCCTGGCATTTTATTCTTCACAATCTTTTCGCATTATGCATACCTTGAAATCAAAGTGAGTCAGCCCCGTTGGCTGGCCACGAGCTCGCCATCCTCCATCGGCCGCCTGGCGAAATGGCATCGCGTCTGACTACGATTTGACCGGGTCATCAGGAGATTGCAGGTTCGACCCCTGCGGTGGTCATTGTTTTTTCTCCGTTTCCTCGCGTTTGAGGGAGCACAAACACTTCTTCGACTCGAAATCACATTTTTTTCCAGCGGGATGCTTTCCGGGATCACCTCGGACATCCATGTTCTGCCACTGCTCTCATGCCCTGGATAGGACACTGGATTCGCGTGTGCATTTGCGCAGAATTGTGGTGGGGAAAAACAAAGTCTCCGACGTCTTATCGATTCGACTCGGAGGCGAAAAAATGATCCGAGGTCGGTGGCAGTGTCTGTCGGCCCGATTGGATTTTTTTTTTTCAGCCTTCCTTGGATTCAAGCTGCCCATCGCAGCCTCCAGGAAAGTCGTTGTTATCCGCCTTCCCTGAATGAAGCTAAGGTGAAACCGTAAGATGAAACCGTCTATTATTATTTTGATACGTCTTCGGACTTCCTACCTCGAAACTCATCTCTGATCCGCTCTTTGTAGATGTTCTCCCATGGCCGCCTGGCGAAATGGCATCGCGTCTGACTACGATTTAGCCATGGTATCAGGAGATTGCAGGTTCGACCCCTGCGGTGGTCATCTTTTTGACCTCCGTTGCTTCCTTTGTGCCTAAACTCTTCTCCAGTCTGCTTCAACTTGAAGATCATTGCACGCACAAGTTCATATGCACTTATACTTGTCGACGAGGAACTCAGTTCCGAGATTTCCTCTGATGTCTAGGTCGTAATAGGACTTTTCTCTCATCATTCAGGTTGCGTAACTATCCGATGTGGCAGTGCACAGTGCCTTAAGGAGCCACCACTTGCTCGACAGAGTCCGACGTTGAATCCGAGCGTGTCTTATCCGGATGGTAGTATCTGGTAATTGCTCTTTCCTGTTCTTTTCTGATTCTGCAACTTTAACTAGATGAACACGCCTCGGTGCTCCGAATGTGGGGCTTCTATTCAGGTCGACGTCTCGGACCTGACTCGGATACAATCCGACTTCAATGCTGGTCCTGGTACTCGTCATTACAGGCTCTTGAACTCCAATGATGCACCGGTCGAACCGGACGATGTAGATCTGGTCACATCAATCGTATCGAAAACCGAAGCACGCCTCGCGCGTATTGACTGGGAGATATCGCGACTGCGCGACCGGCTGAGCCACCTGGAGGACGAGCGTGACTCGTTGTCAAATCAGCTCGCACGGAATAAATCCATTCTATCTCCCCTCCGGCGGATGCCACCCGAGATCCTTCTCGAGATCTTTTCGCGGACACTACCCTCGATCCTCACTGCGCGTAGACGTGAGAGGTTCGACGTCAAGAATGTCCCATGGGTTTTGGGCCACATCAGCAGCCATTGGAGAGCGGTCGCCCTTGCATCTCCATCGTTGTGGTCCCTGGTTGCCGTTAATTATACGGCGTTCGTGGAGGATCCTGCAAGCTCGTATCCTTATCCTATGCTTGAAACCCAGCTCGCGCGCGCCCAGACGTTGAAGATTCATTTTTACGCATCTGCCAAATCTGAATCCTTTGCTCAGACGGAGATGTTCAAGTTTCTGGCGGCGCATTCGTCCAGGTGGGAAGAGCTCAGCATCAGCTTAACCTCAGATCTAGTTCCCCTCTTGGCCACCCTTCGTGATCGTGTACCATTGCTATGCAGGTTATGGCTGCAGTGGGACGCTCCGGAAAGCCAGATCGAGGTGGAATCTATCGATTGTTTCCAGTCAGCTCCGTCTCTGATCGATGTTGGCGTTTACAACGAATATCGTTCCATTCCGATTCTCTTTCCTGTACAGCAGCTTACCCGCTACCACGCGGACGCCCCATGGGATATCCACGAGGGAATCCTGAAAGCCGCGCAAAACCTCGTCGAGGCCCGGATCGATATCCGTTTCGATCTGACGCCATGGCCAGAGTCCTGTGAAACCACCGAGTTATTATCCCTCCGCCGCCTCTATGTATCTGAACCGGCCCTTCTGGACCACATCCGGGCGCCTCATCTCGAGGAAATTGCGTTTTGGATGGGAAAGGATGAGGGGCCGGAGATTCTAGCCAAACTCGAATCTGTTCTCCTGCGCTCATCCTGTCACATCAGAAGGCTTTGCCTCAAAGGCATACCGAATAACGATATCACCGCTGAGATCCTCAAGAAATTCCCCTCCATCATCGAGCTCGGAATAATTATCAACGACTCGGAATACACCACGGAGGCCAATAACCTGATGTCCCATTTGACCGTCTCCGACCTCGCCGGAAGCACGCCAGTGGCTCCGCAGCTACATTGTTTGTTTTTCGGATGTGACAACGACAGCTACATCGATTACACGCTGTATCTCGAGATGGTAAAATCCCGGTGGAAATCAAAGGGTTGTGCGCTGGAGGCAGCTGCGCTCCTCACGGATTCGGGCCCGGGACCAGACCCTGCGACGCTCAGCGCCCTGGATGCGCTTCACCAGGACGGATTGGAGCTTTTTACGCTGGAGGGAGCCGAGGCGTCAGAAATTATGGGTGGTTGGATTTACACTTCGTTGTGGAACTGAATGTCATACTCGTCGACGAGGAATGGTAGGGCCACGGATATGCAAGAGACATAATGTAAAAATTAGTATATTTTGAGCTAGTTATTACATTCAATCACTGCGCCGAGTGGCCCAGTTCATGTTCCACGACATGTGCTGGGGATGGGCGAAATCCGAGTAATATGTACGTAAACTCGGACCGACTCGTGTGGCGGTGCCACCAACTTCTCCTCTTACCACCACATCGCTTGAACTTTGTAAGTGAGCGGATTTTTTTCAATGGACAACACTTTTTAACGTTCTATTCAAGAACTCGAGTCCTCCCATGGCCTCGGACTTCGGCCCGGGCGTGATTGCCCTTGACGCATCGACGACAAAACCATGCGATTTGGATATCACTGTCGCTGCTACGACACTCGCGCGGCATCAGCAGCTCTTGACCACCAATCAGCCGCCGGAGGGCCCAGAACTCACATTAATCCGGTCGGTT